AAAAATTATCTATCTACCGTGTAGTTAAAGCGGTATGAAAAAAATTTTTAACTTGTTTTATATATACAATAATAATTTGTAGTCCCTGTGTTCGTCCATTGGCTTTTTTGAAATCCTTGGCTGAGAAACTTCGAAGAAGCTCATGTTTAGTTATGAGGCCGAGGAAAAGCTGAAACGACTTCAAAAGCGGGAGTCGTTACTTTTGTTTATCCCAGTCCATAACCCTCCCACATAGCTCACCGTATAAAATTACGGATTTATGATTTTGTTTGTCCCACCGAGAGAAGGGCAAGTAGGTGGGTACTAATTGGACTTTTGTCGTTCTTCACAAAAGGATCGGTTTCCAGCCAGGTACAGAAAGCCCCTTAACGGCACAGTAAAGCTGTCGGCCGAGAACCTTTGTAGACCGCAGTCGGATTTTTTCGATTGTTATTCATGTTTTTGTCCTCCAAGAAACCGAACTACGGGGTCTAATGTTGTAATTATCAAAATGGTCTTGTTTCAGCGGCCCTTTGGTCCTCTTTTTTTCAATAATAACTCAGGAAAATGTGATTTTTGTTCGAAGTTCAAGCTCTTTGTTTTCCGATGAATACAAACGGTACGGCCTTTTTTCCAATGTATTTTTTTCCTTCTTTAAATAGCTCACAAACATCGCTTTATGATTCTCTAGGAATATGTAAAAAGCTCCTATTAACGAAGGAAGCGTTTTTTTTGAGGATTCATTTTTTTAGTCGTATCGTTCGAGATTGCTAAGTACGGTCGTAATAATTTACATGTCCATCCTTCTCTTCAGATATTCTTGTAAGTATAACTATTGCCTTTTGCCATCTTCTAGCTTAAGCTGTATGTTGAATCTCCCATTGACACACATTAATTATAAAAAATAGACTACAATTAAAACTTTGGCTAAAAACTAAGGATATCAAGAAATGTTACGTAGGTAAATAAATAAAAATAAATTAAATAGGTTGATGGTAAAATTAATTAAAAAAACTTTAAAAGAAGCAACAAACGAACGTGGCCACCTCACCAAAAATAAATTATTACACTACTAGTTTCGTGGTCCGCTTGACCAATTAATATAGTTAATGAAAAATGGCAAAAAGGAGGGAAAATTCAAAAGGTGGGGTTGAGATGGGAAATTGGTGTCCGAGTGGATCGAGGTCACGATAGCTCAAGTAGAGCAGCGGCGTATCTAGCCGAAGATCGTGGGTTCGAATCCCGCTCGTGACACTGACTTTTTTATCTCAACTAAAAACCTTAATTAATTGAAATAAATTATTTGGTTTTCTTTTGCTTCCCATTCGAAGAGAAACTATCAGAAAAGTACGTAAAATCCGTACATTTCTTTGAGTAGGTTTTTAACTAGGTTTTAGAAGTGTGTGTGTTCCCTTAGAAATATGCTCAAAAACCTAAAGGCAAGGTTGACAACATGTCAGAAAGAGGGATTTACCAACAAATAGTACCGATTGACATATTAAAATATAGGCCAAAGCCAATCTAACAAATCTTCAGAATTTAAAGACCATCTGCATGAAACAAAACACAATTTAATTTAAATTTAAATAGAATAATAATACACATTTTCAACATAGGGAGGTAACAAGACTGGTTTGAGAAATTTAAATTTAAAAAATGTAAAATTAAAAATGGAAATAAATCCATAAATAATGGCATAGATTTTGACTATTTATTCCCAATTTTGAACATATACATAAATAATATTCAATATACACTGACAGGCAAAAAATTCCACCCAATTGATTTTTTTTTCATTTTCTCGATAAAAGAAAATTCTGCCCTAAATTTGTCTTATTAAAATAATATTGTTTTTATTTAAATATTTTGTTTGTGCTATGTTTTAAATTGGGAATATAGAGGTAAACACACTTAATCCTTAATCCGAAACAATGATAAAGGATTTTTCAATGTGTAGAAATTAGTGACCGTTAATCGATACTTATTCGGATATCGTGAGATGCGGTCTGGTGTGATGTAGCTGTCAGAAAAACATTTTCTTTATCGTGCCAACTCTAACACGACACGCAAGAATGGCACAATTACACAGAAGACAAACACTTTGAGTGAGTAGAAATACTTTGATTGAATGTACAATATTTTGCATTGTATAAATTCACTTTTCCACATCCTAAATGTGTTTGTTAAATGTAAACAATGTTTGTAAATCCCAGGCCCTGAAGATGATCTCAATAAAGATCGAAACGTTGGCACGATAAAGAAATTGTTTTTCTGACACCTACATCACACCAGACCGCATCTCACGATATCCGGATTTTTCAATGTTTACTTTTTACGGATTTTAATCCATTTGAATTCTGAAGCAATAAACTGTTTAGTTTTCATGTTTGTTTTCTTAATTTCAATTTTTAAACTTAAAAGTGCCACTTAGTGCTAAGGATGTTGCGCGTGGTGTGGCACTTGTTGATAATGGACGTCCCATCGAATATGCAGCTATCGCAGGATGACCGCTTTTTGAATTTGAGAATTTTTCGAAACCAGCACCTTGCAGTTGTTCAAGCGATTCATCCGCTCCATGAAGTTCGAGGTGTATGAAGTTTGTAATTTTTTCCAGAGCCAACCTTTTCAGTGTAGCTCAGTGATGGTGGGGGCGTGGATTCCAAAGGAGAGCTGAACAGAATTGATTGTTGTTCGTGGAGGGTCTTTGACGGCCACTCGCGAAGCGGATGAAATTTTGGAACATCATGCTTTGTCCTCGATGAAATCCTATTCTAATGCACGATAATGTCCTTATGTCCCTCGCATAGTACAAACATACCTTCAACAGCATAGCATCAGGGTCTTAGCCTGGCCCGTTCTCCAGACTTGAACCGCATTTATGGGATAACCTCAAAAGCCGAAAAAGAGCACGTCTATCAATTTCTGATAACTCCACGATCTTGAAAGGACTCTTCGTGAAGAATGGGCTAACCAAGAGACATTTCCAGACTGGTAGAAAGTATGCCTAGTCGTCTTCGAGAAGTAATTAACGAAAGAGCAGGAAAAACGCGATATTGAAATGTTCATTAAAAAATCTAAACATCTAAAAGAAAATTTTAAAAAATTATCTGTCCGTATTTTTTCATTTGCCTTAGCAATTTCCTTTTATTTTTTGTTTAGATTTTTAGACAAAATCCCAATTATTAAACGTTAAAAAACGTGAAACTGATTAATACATAAAATATATACACAAACCAAGTTACATTACAAGTGGGTGGAATTTTTTGCTTGTCATTGTACACATTAATCTTTAACTATTAAAAAATATTTTTCTTGCAATACGTAGTACGATAAAATTTAATTGAGTCATAATCCACGTTTTTTTTTTAATTAAACAAATAGATCATTAGCGGTGGAATCACAAGCCTTTCCTACAATTCAACTTGAGAGACGTACTTGTATCTTCTGCCTGATGAGGAGTATTTATTAGTCGAAATTCGGATAGCTGCCTACAATTTTTGTGATGCAACTATCTTTTCCGAAAATTTGTTACACAATTCTGTCTAGAAAACCATGCTAGGTGGATGTTGAAGTTACTGTTTGTCGTCTAAAGTATGACACGTGATGGTATTGTGTTTCCCTACTTTAGAACATTTGTCAACTGTTTGATCCTCCTTGAAGATGTGCCGAAAAAAGTCTGTCAGACAGTTCTGCGAGCATAACCGGATCGAGATCGTAAAAATTCAAATGCGGACTAAATAAAAGTTAAAACAAAAACTCGGATAAATCGGTTCTTGTTTCAAAAAGGCCGACTAGTATATTAAGCCGTAGGATATCAACAATTGTTATCCTGTGTAGCTGTCATTTGTCATTTGATCCTCACTGCGCCATTGCGAGAGAAAAGCCGCTCATCGGCCGAAAGTAGTGTCGATATTGTAGATCAGCAAGATGACAGAACAGATCAAGGGGTCGGTTGTCACCCTTGGGAGGACCAGCCCTTCAAAAAATCGACAGATTTATTCACACTCCTCTAGCTTCCAGTGGACAAAAATAACTTTTACACCAAAGTCCAAATATAATAAGCGTACGGTCTCTCGATGCCAGCCTAATCTTCTTTCAAAATTTGTTATTTTACTTGGATTAAACAATAGTAAAAAAAAATTATAGCAGCTTAAATAGTGAATAAACAGTTCATTGCTAAATACGCCCATTGTTTTAGAAGAAAAAAGATAATAAGAAATGGTTAGTGTTGGTTAGAGGTTAAAAATATGCGTAACCTAATTTTTTGACTCTCACATAAATAAATAAAGCATGGGAAAGCTGTAATTTATATGGAAAATTTTAATACATTTTATAAATTAAATTTATCATAATTAATTAAGGTTTTTAGTTGAGATAAAAAGTCAATGGCACGAGCGGGATTCGAACCCACGATCTTCCGCTTGATACGCCGCTGCTCTACCACTTGAGCTGTCGTGACAACGATCCACATGGAAAATCCAAAAAGGTGAGATTGAGATGGGAAGTTAGTGCCCGAGTGGATAGATGTCACGATAGCTCAAGTGGTATAACAGCGGCGTATCAAGCCGAAGAACGTGGGTTCGAATCCCGCTCGTGCCATTGCTTTTTTTATCTCAACTGAAAATCTTAATTAATTATGATATATTAATGGTCAAGCGGACCACGAAATTAGGGAATTAAATTTATACATAAATCATCAATATATACCAATTTGGTTGTTTAAATGTAAAAATAATCCTATATGTCTAGACCCAATTTGAACATTTGTTCACTGTTTGATCGTTTCTGAAGAAGAAATGCCGGAAAAAGTCGTCCGATGTTCTGAGAGCATAAGAGGACCAGATCATAAAAAATCCAAGCGTTGACATCTCACTGGTTCTAATGATGATTATCAGACTTACTTTTCGGACTTACCTACAATGTCTTTGTAGCAAATGTTCGTTTGAACTCAAATGGTCATACAATTTAAGTAGAAGAAACTTTTCTAATAAAAACGCTTTCATTTTTGACACATTTATTTAATCAATACTTTCTTAACTACACCATAAAACATATATACATATAGACAACGAAGAAATAAATTCTCCTTTACACACAGTTTTTTTTGTTCTTTTACCATTGCAAAATAACATATCCACGATGGGAAAACACATTTACAATTATCTCTGGTAGTACAACTGTCGCATCAGCGTAATTATTTACAAACAATATTTTATTTACAAGTCGGTAACGATGGAAAAATATATCGTGCAAAGAGCAATGTTCTGTGAAGTTGGCGTGTCTCGGCCATAATAAACTTTCTGAGATCCTGTTTTTATACCAATCGCCCCGTTGAAATCTCACTTTTTTAAAACCTATGATAACAATTAACTAATAGTGCAACATACATTACTTTCATCTCAATATTTTCGATTTATTTCAAGCGCCTTACAACACTTAAGACGTTTTTTTAACGCTTTCCAATCTTTAGTTTATAAAATTTGTACATAGCTAACAAATTAATGAACAGAACTACAAGCTTTTAAGAAAATTACATTGAGATTTATGACTTAAGTATACAAATTAGAGTCCCTTGAACGTAAAAGTGTACACCGATATTATTTACAGACTCGAAGAAATACTATTTGAGTACAAAATTAGCAAGATCGTTTGAAACTATTTTACTTCTTGTAAAATATATGAAGCTGGGTTGCCCACCACTTTATCCCGTGAGTATGATTATTCAAAAGCAAACGTTGAGCAAGTATTTTTGAAATTATCAAAATATAATTTGTACCATTTGGAAGATTAAATAATGCAATTGTTGTACCGAAGGTCGTATAAAAGAATATAAACAATTATGTAAAACAAAACAATGTAACAGTATAGTTCAATTTTAATTTAACAGCAATAAAACTTTAACTTTTTTTAACAGAAACTAAATTGTAAACTGCCTGCAATAAATACGCTTAATGTCTATCTAAAAGTCAGGACAATAGTAGTAGTTTGATTTTAATTTTATAAAAAAAATTTAAATTTAAAAGGGAAAAACATAATCAGTGCTGCAAACTGAAACGAAAAAGAGAAAAAATACCTTGCAAGAGCTAGACTATTTAGGAGACACATTTTGACAATAAAGTCAAGAAATTTAATTAAGACAATATTTGCGTAAGTCAAAACTTTGTCTTTTTACATTTCACAACGGAGCGATCGAACGTTGACGACTAGAGAGTAAACATTTAAAGTGGAATTTTTATTACAAAACAAAGAGGTTTTTTTTTATTAAAGAGATTTGTAAACATAAAATATATTTGCTAAACGAAATATAAAAAGAATTACATTATTCTCAGCACTGGTAACTGTCTCTCGTAGGATCCGTTCGACTTATCTTTAATCTTTCTCCCGAGAGAATTTAAAAAGTGAGGTTAAAACTTCAAGAATTCGAAAATATCGGCAAAACTTAGTAAGGTCGCCAGACGTCAGTTGACCTTTTCGTTGCGGCTTTCGGAGAGGGTTTTGTCGGCGGGCTGGCCGGAGGAGGATCCGGCGGTCTTATCAGGGGCGGGTAGAGGTGCGGGTAGAGCCAGTGCGAAGGAGGCAGGAGTGGAGTTTGCAGCAGGAGGCTGAAAAATGCCGGATGGTGTAGGCCGAGCGGAGGTGGTGTGGCCGGCCTCGGTTCCGGAGATGTAGCTCCCGATCCACCGGAAGACGACGACGGCCTCTGTTCACCCGCAGTCGTCAAAAGTCCAGCTCCGGACTCAACAGAGTTCTTCTCATCGTTCCCAGCGACTGCAACGCTTATAGGGCCCAGAGGTTCGCGGCATAGCTCTGAAAGAAACCAAAATGTATCTTTTGTAAGTTTTTTTTTAATTCATTCATTTTTATCTACAACTGTACATTTTGTGCTTTTTTAAACTAGATTCTACAACAAATTTCGATCATAGTTGTGGTTTTTTATGTTAAAGGAGTTCTCTTTCACTTTTTCTTGTACATAAAGGGACCTCGACGGAGACAGAATATTTTATTTCATTTTAAATTTCACCTTTACTCCAAAAGAACTAGTCTATTAACATTAAAAAAACACAACTACGATCGAAGTTTTTTGTAGAATCTAGTTAAAAAAGCACAAAATGGTCCAAATGTTCTGTGAAATGGATAAAAATAGTTTTCTTTCTCAAATATGTAACATATAATTCAGCAGCAGTACCCTGATGATGCGACTATATGTCGCGAAAGCTCGGCGAATTGTTGGCATAAATTTGTAATGTGTGGTGATTAATGACCGTTAATCGATAATTATTCAGAAATCGTGAGATGCGGTCTGGTGTGATGTAGGTTTCAAAAAAACATTTTCTTCATCGTGCCAACGTTTCGATCTTTATTCAGATCATCTTTAGAGCCTGGGATTTACAAACATTGTTTACATTTAACAAATACATAATCGGTCTCATTCTATCTCCCTCTCTTAATCTCTCACTCATTCACTATCTCTCACTCTCTTTCTCACTCTCTCTCTCTCTCTCTTTTTCTTATGTGAAGTGGAAAAAAGTACGTGTGGGCTTACTTTGCGAAATTAAATAAAAAGTTTAATCGTTTAATCAATCGGTCTCATTCTCTCTCTCTCTCTCTCCCTCTCTCTCTCTCTCTCTCTCTCTCTCTCTCTCTCTCTCTCCCTCTCAATCTCACCCCCTCTCACTCGCTCACTCAGTCAGCCACTCTCTCTCTCTCTCTCTCTCTCTCTCTCTCTCTCTCTCTCTCCCTTCTTTCCCCCGAAATAATGTTTCATTTGGTTCCTTGAATATTCTTAAATATTCAACCTCTTTGACCTTATTATTATTATTTTTTTTAATGTTTTGAATTAGATTTGCATGGTTCAATATGCAACGTTGCTACACATCTTTTTATTTTTACAGTTATCAGCAGAATTAGTGACGAATAAGCGGGTTGAGTAAACACGTTTGGGTTGTAATCTATTTTTCTCTCTTTGTGTCATACCATCCTATTACCGTCTGTTTAGGGCTGGGGGTTCAGCACCTACGACGATATAAAAGAGGCTAACCACGAAGGATAGCGGCAATCAAAATGGGCGAAAATGTTCAGAAGATTTCGGCTTTGAAGACGTCTCAAGAATAAAGACGCGTAGAATAATCAGAAAAATGAATAAAGACTAATAAACCTTACATACATTTTATTCTAAGGATCTGAATTTCGTATGGGTTCGATTCTCGGCGTCTTTGATAATATGAACTGCAAAAGCGTGGAACAGGCAAGACCCTCAGCCATCTTTTTATAAATACAACATTCTAGTTTGTCATAAATTGTTAAACAAAAAGCACGTATGGAGATGTGAAAATATAAACCAATAGCACGAGGCTTGGAATCGAAGCCCCAGGAAAACGCCTCACCCACCCTCATTTGCTAAATCGCCAGAGAAACATCGCAAGATATACTATATAAGATACCATCATTAGAAAAAAACATGAGAAAGCTGAGCATAAATAATAAAAAAGACTATTTCAACGACTCAAAGCCTGATATTATAGCTAAAGACACATGGATGTTTATCTAGGCCAAGTGATAAGTTTTAAAGACGGAATTAAATAAAGAAACTGCAAGAAGTCGTGGAAAAAAATATTGGATATTAGGAAAAGGAAAAGTCTCCAGCCCCGTCATCGCTTTAACACTCACTTAAACAACATAGATTCAGATTAAAGATACGCATAGACGGGAAATAACACAGAGATCTATGCAAATCAAAATCCAACGTATATAAACATAAAACTGCAAAATCTCACTGGCAATCTCAACACGACACGCAAGAATGGCACAATTACACAGAAGACAAACACTTTGAGTGAGTAAAAATACTTTGATTGAATATAAAATATATTTTGCATTGTATAAATTCATTTTTTCACATCCTAAATGTATTTGTTAAATGGAAACAATGTTTGTAAATCCCAGGCCCTGAAGATGATCTCAATAAAGATCGAAACGTTGGATCGGTAAAGAAAATGTTTTTCTGAAACCTACATCACACCAGACCCCATCTCATGATTTCCGAATAATCTTCTCCCAAATGTTTTAAATATATAATTACACTATTAAGGCGAATATCAATCACATCAAGATAATCGTTTACTCCTTGTAATGATAATTACATACGTACAAAAGAAAATATTCAAAATATTGTGATTTTAAGGTTGAGCTAACTATTTTGGAAATTAAATTAGTTAGTACTTAGTTCATTACTTTTGGGTTACTCAAATGCTGTCATTATTTTATAACTTATGTTCTGAGTTCCTGTAGTTACTGAAGAGGTTTCTTCAAAAACAAAAACATGTAGAAATACTTTGATTGAATATAAAAAATATTTTTTGCATTGTATAAATTCACTTTTTCCACATCTTACATGTATTTGCTGAATTTAAACAATGTTTGTAAATTCCAGGCCCTGAAGATGATCTCAATAAAGATCGAAACGTTGGCACGATAAAGAAAATGTTTTTCTGAAACCTGAAGCATCACACCAGACCGCATCTCACGATTTCTGAATAATTAAAAATTTCTAACTTCATTCAAGACCATATACCTTATCCTCTCAACATTGAAAAAATCTAGTCGATACCTCTCCTTAGCATTGTAAATAGTTAACTTTATCGGATTGAGGAACAGGTTCACTGAATAATTATAGGACAAGTCTCACGACGCAGTGTAAAGGTGATATAATGTGACTTACAAAGATTGCTCCATTTTACAATTGTTGATATGTGTTTTTGTAACATAAGTGCAGCTTGTGTAGAAGATTAGTGCATACCCATTTGTGGGCATATTAGAAGTAAATATTAAGTACAACAGCGGATCGAGTATTGTAGGTACCTTTGGGGCACACATGCATGCACTTCTTCCATCTCAGAAATCTCCGTACCCTGATTTACTGAGAAAAATCTCCCCTTAAGGTATTTTGTAACTTAAAATATATAAATAACACTACGAAACTAAAAAGACAGCTGTGGACAATAAAAATATAAATGGACCTCAATTCTTGTTGTGAATTATCTTGCGCTGCAAGTGATCGTATATCAGTGTCTGGCTGCAGACCAAGATTTTAAATAAAGCGCTACCCCCCGCAGTAAATCACGTTCATTTAGACAAAAGCGTCTTTTTCTTAAACCACAGTGACCAAAACAAACCTTACCTGAATTCGGATGCGTGTGGTGCCCTGCGGACAGGGCCAGGAGCTGCGAGTGGTGAAGCGGCGGAGGCGGCGGCAAGTAAGGGTAGCCCCCGCGCCCCCAGCCACCCTCACCGAGCTGCTGAGCAAGACCTGTGCAAACAACAATGATTCTCGTTAGTCGATCTGGCAAATATTGGGCAGAAACAATCGGGTATTAATGAATAATCGATCTTCAAGGGTCTCGGTATTGTCACTTTCAAAAAATGTGTGAAAAAAAAATCGTAGACTATTTTGGGACTGAGTCAGTCTTCAAACAAACCATCTATTAAAAACTTAATTTTGACAATTTATAGACATCTGTATGATTGTTTTGCCATGATGATGACATGAAAATAGGCCCAGATCTGGGCAGATAATAATTGAATTTGTTCTTTTATTCATAGCCTAGATCCAGATGAATCGTGAAATATTAAAAGCCGACGAACTTTCGTTTCGTGACGGTTTTGTAATTTATCTCTTTAATTAAAAATCTTTATCTTAGATTAAATAGATTTGCTATGAGAACCAATCTTTCATCGAAAGAAATGTAAAAATCTAAGCACCACATTATATTACCTAAGAACGGTAAAAATACCTTTGAACGTATTATCACTGCTTTCTTTTTGATCTTATAAAGAACTAAAACTCTTCCTGGATATTTTCACACCAAAATCACATAATTCCGGCTACCGGAAGTATTTTTACTTTATTTTTAAACATTACAGGTATAGAGCTATCGCGCCAGGAACTGCCACGATAAATACACGTGTATATATATGTTACATTTAGCATATTTGTATTATCTTATGCTAAAATTTAACACAGGATATTAAGAATGAAGAAAGAAAACCGTCTAGAAATAAATAGATATTTTCTGATATCCGAAGGGCGTTTTCCTTGGCATATTGTAACACCAAACCCCCCCAAAAAACTAAAACGCTATAATCACTTCCAAGACAGTAAACAAAGCACAACACATAAACAAGTAAACGCTTCACGAAGTGAGAAATAAACATGGATAAGCCGTTGAGCTTTTGAGAAGATCGATCATTCCCAAAAATGACGTTTTTAAAAGCAAAACGGATCATATCACGAAAACTCATACAAGTAGTAAAGAGAGATTTTTAATATTCAAACAATTTTTTTTAAGTCTCTTAGAAGGGTAAAATAGCTTATTTTGGGGGGATCGTTACCAAAAATGACATTTTTAGGAACAAAAATGTTATCCCAAAAAACTGCTATTGGTATGAGAGAGAGAGGTTTTGGGGCACGTATTCAAACGTTAGGTGCTTAGATAGACGAGGTAAAAACCTACCGAGAAATATATTTTTTTTTTAGAAAAGTCTCTTAGATGAGTAAAAAAGCTTATTTTGGGGGGATCGTTACCGAAAATAGTTTAGGACAAAAAGGTCATCCCAAAAAATTACTCTTGGTACGAGAGAGAGGTTTTGGGACACGTGTTTAATCATTAGCTGCGTAGATGGACGAGAATTTTTTTTGTTGAAATTCTTTACAAGTAACAAAAAAATTCCCGATCATTAAAAAAAGTATTTTTCCCCTGCTGTTAAAAACAGCCATAATTTTTTCTTTCAGTTTGATATTCAGTTTGACCTTAGATGCGAAGCTGAGATGGAAAAAACACGTGAAGAAAAAAAGGACAGAAATAAGTTTAAGGTATAGACACCTATAATGGTTGATAGGACGTGGCTCCAACCTTGCTATACAAAATAAAATATTATTATACAAACAAGTCATAAAGCCTATGTGGACATATGGTATTTAACTATGAGATTTGTGTCAAACACAGCAATTCAAAATCATACAAACACTCCAAAATAAAATCTTCCTTAACATGGTCAGTGCACCTTGGTACATAGGGAACTTACATAGGGATCTTAAGATTCCTGATGTCACGGCAGAAATACAAAGATTTGCCGCCAAACTCCAGGCTCGTCTCAGCCAGCACGAGAATGTGGAAGCGATCAAACTCTTACATAACCGAAACATGGTCAGAAGATAGCATAAAATACAGAAAAGAACAAAGCCATATGAACTTGAGTAGTAAAAAATAAATAGTGAAATGTAAATCTCACTGTACCAATAGGTTTATAAGAATGAAAACATTTATTTATTCTATAATATTATTGTAAAATTAATAGTTGGTCCAATAAGGCCAGTTTTAATAAATAAATTTAATTTTAAAAAAAGTTCGATATAAAAATTTCTCCATCTATCGAGAAAATTCGTACAAAGTTTGATTAATTTTAATCGGAGAGTTTCTCAGGAACCCAGCCGTAGAAGAGTAAAAATAGCTTGTGTTTGAGGAAGAAAAACAAAACTTTAATAGATTCGTAAATTAAATTCTGCTAAATATAATTGGATTTCATGTATGCCTTGTTTAGTCAACGGTATAAAACGAGAATCAGAAGATACAGAATGATTGGAAAAATGGTAAATTAAAAAAGTAAAATTAAAATTGTAAAGTCCATTTTGCCGAAGACGACCTTCGAATGTGATGTCCTCCCCATAGTATTCGTGATGTTCGGAACTTAATATTTAATAAAATGCATTTTGTTTCAATCGTTATATATTACGATATAATTTACGTAAGTAACGGTTGGGAAAACGAGTCCGATACAAAGGTCAGAGATGAAAGGGCGTTATCCGGTGACAAAGGAATATGGGAGCTTGTTAAAAAAAAAATGTGGGACCGAAACCATAAAAGGGCGTGCACACTTTTGTCGTTTCTTCCCCTTTGAGAGCGTACCCAGCCCGATAGTCAAAGCCCCAGGGGATGGGGAGTGGTGCTATTAAGAAAGATTCCAAAAAGTTACGGGATTTACGCCACTTCCGAGGGCGACAAGAAAGGGTTGACCTTTCTCCCCACGAGGATTGTTAATTAGTTGTAAAGGGGTGGAAGTCGAAGACCGAGGCCCGTTTGAGACCGACCTTAGGACCAAATATCACGGGCGGACCTTTGCAACCCTTTCTTGACTATCCCAAGAGGGAGGCTGAATTATGTCAGTTTGTCCCTTAGCGATTGTCTCTTCACCTTTTTCCAGAGAGTGCCCCCTTCACCTCATTAACACCGACTATTTTCCTCCCTTTCCTTCACCCCCTAACCCACCTCTCTAATCACTAACATATTAACAGAAAAAAAAATTGACAATATAGTGTAATACTCAGTTAATTTTGGAAATGAAAAATTTGTGTAACAGACAGGATTCGAACCCATGAACTTCGGCTAGTAGTATAATAGAGTAGGATATAATAATATAGTACAATATTCCGTACGTATTTACAATCATGAGTGGGTACCATAGATCTTTTAGGTTTTAGGCGTAAGAGGCTTTCTGCCCACTTTTATCCCTAAATCATGTGTATTCACTAATCAAGTGCCTAGAGCCTATAGGCAGTACGCCCGTATCTTTCTGCCTTTGGTCTATGTAATAGAGCTATCAAATCAAATCTGAGCAGAAAACAAAAAACAAAGATTTGCAGATGATGGTGTTTATCTGTGATTCGGGAAACGCATTTTGAACCGGCCCAAATTGGTCCGTCATCATTTGCGAGTTTTTGATATTATTCATACGTTTCGGCTATGCACCATCTTCAGTAAGGAACTGTGTAACACAGTAGACAATGGCCACCTGAAACCTGTTTTAATAACATTTAAATTTCGCGAATGAAGACAGATCAGTGCCGGTTAGATAACAATTACGTCAGATAGCCAAGAAGCTACTAAAGCTCTGAACCCGAACATCTGGTGGTATGGATCTGAATTGCAATACCCAACTAAATAAGCTAGGAATGCTAAAAACAGCTACCATCTGGTTGGTTCGAGAACTTGCAATAGTAGAGAGAAAGGAAGAAGCAAACCTTTCCCTACCACACTGCTTGTATGACCCCTTTATGACGGACCAAACAAGAAAAGAAGGAAACAATCCCAATCTCAGCAGGCTCAAACTGAGTTAGAATCGCATGAACCAATGCTGTTTTTGGGGCTATTCTTAAAATAGTTAATGAAACCCCAACACACCTGATATGCTGTGGTACTACTTTAGGGACGTACAACACAACCGCAAAATATTAGAATAGAGCGGGTAGATCTATACCGGTCAATTAACACCGAACACTACAGAACAGGGAATATAATACTATTATAATAGTAGTAATCAATAAAAGAACAGAATCTATTTATTGTTTTTATTTGCTTAGCTTTTCACACTGGTATGATAGGACGCTTCGGACCTCTCCGAACAGAATCTACGTTGACAGATTTCTTAAACCGTACACTGCAGACCCTATGGACATCTAGCTGCATGCTGTCATTTTAATGTTCAAATGCATCTTAAGAGCAAGTGTCTTGAAGTACATTCATAAATATTCCGCCATCGACCCTAAATACACACCTGAAATACACATACGAAAAGGTGAAGGAAACGCTATATTTCCCTTACCACTCACTCTAATAAATACATGCACTCAAACAAAGCTCATACAAATACAATTTCAAAAAACCAACTGTTCCAAAAAAAGAAACAAAGAAATCAGAAACTGTACCCGAGAAATATTCTTATATTCGGCGGCACGCGTACACGCTCTCTGTAAGGAGCCAAGGCATGACAAGCTTCTATTATGTGGTACACGCCGAGCAACCTCTGAGTAAGTGTCACCTGCGTGGCCTTTGGTCAACGAGTAAGTATTATTACCCCTATTAAGATTAAAATTCTACATAAAAAAGCGATCTTGGATAAGGCTAATTGTAACAAAAAGACTCAGTTCTTTCCGAAAAAGCATCACTTCCATCAAGACTTTGTTTGATTATTAATTTAAATTGTTGAACAATATGAAGATCTATTTCAAAATTTAAAATGCTCTCAACAGTGAAAAGAAATGAGATCAAATTATTCCAGTCTATTTTACATATAAAATATTTATTACTATTTATTAAGATGGTCTGAAGAAAATAATTTTCAATAAAGTTTTGTTTATTCACACGCAACTTTTCAACCTCCATTTTTGAATGGTGATAAATATAATCTAGGACAATACATACACAATGATTATTTCATTTCCAAGTTTAATACGTAATAATTGTACGAAAGAGT